AAAATGGGCAGCTTTGACCTCATAAAGTAATCTCTCTCCAAACATTTGGGGACTGGGCCATTGGCGTTTCTTCTCTCAATATGTCTACCTCAACGCTTCATAGGATCTCTAACTTGATGAAAGCACTAAAATTTGTTGAAAGTTACTAGAAATTATAAATACTTTTGACATCTTCAATCAGAGCTGAAGTTGTGATATGCACCTTTATCTTAAGTTTTTGTTCAACATGCTCAAATTAAGTCAGGCCAATCTCTTCCAGGAAACTTAATACCCACAGTCATGACAAAGAATGGACAAACTTGTAAGCTGGAGATCTCTCTGTGGCTAGTAAGGAAACTTTTGAACTTTGCAGAAAAAGAAAGAACCCAAGAATTTTAAAGGATTTATTTGATTTCTCCACATGATCACAGCTATGGTATTACATCAATAGAGTCTGTTATTACTCACAAACAGAATGCATATTAAAACAAAACACTCCTTTCCTCCCCAAAGTTACATAATGGGTGCCGGACTTCTTGTGAGCGAGGTGTCTGTTGAAGTCTTTGAACCATCTGCATTCAAGACCTGATTCTAATTGTTTAAAACAACTTGAAGGTGAATGACAGTTCTCAAGAGGAGACGGAAACTGCACGTGATCTCAGTGACAGAACAGTGAAACTAACATGCACATGAGCTACAAGATATCTCAAGCAGGCTCCTCCTGCTTGTCGCTTTTTACCACCCCCACTTCACACTGATTCATTATGCAATTTATTTCCTTGATTATTGTTGTTATTTAAAATACGTACAAAATTACTTGTTTTTTAGGCAGGAAGGATGATGATATTTTACAAAGAAACTGTAAGATGCATGCTTATCTGTAGAGACGTAGCTTCATATGGAATGCTGAGTCAACACTTAGGGTCATGTTTAAATAATCTGCTGTTTTTTCAGCTCATTTTAAAGAAAAACGAGGCTTCTGCTGCATGCAGCGCATGATGGAAAAATCGCTCTATACTGGATAATTGAAGACATTTTTAAGCAAGATGTGCACATCATATTAGGATGAACTTTATTTTTTACATTGTTGTACAATTCATTCATAAACTTAAAAAATACAAATACATGATTTAATTGTTGTCCCAGAAAAGACTTTTGTGATACTACCAGCTGTTTCCTCGAAGTCTCCTATTCCTGTCAGATATTATGTATTTGAAATAATTTGTGCGACTTGAGAAAAATGTCCCAAGTGTGTCCTGACAGTAAGAAAGGATAACATAAACATCCTGGTGGCACTCAGCCTCCTGCCTCCTGGAGGGGCGGGTAGGGAGGCTCTGTGAATTATAGGTCCCTACAGCTGTGACTCTGACAGGCTGGGATCTAGAGAGAACAGTCCCACTAAAGCAACATGGGGGACACCAGTTTATCAGAAGTTTTTGCTTCCCAAATAAGATTTGGGCAATGTGGCTCCAGATTCCTCATTGGAACTATGTATTTCTGGAAACATTTCTCATGACAGATTTGTAAATAAAACACATAGAAACCTCATTGACCTGATCCCAATACACTGTATGTAAAGTTGGAAAAATGGGGAGAAACTAAATTTGTTCAAGAAGCTGGTCCTGTGGCATCCCGACAAAACTTTAGGGCACACCAATGACAGTGTTGGAGGTGAGAGTTCTGAACAGCCCTCAGAGCATGAAGGACACAATGCAGAGAAAGCCCCTCCCACTGGCCCCCATCAATGAATTGTTTTTGTTTCTCACTAATATTTACCTCTTCAGAAAGGGTGACCAAAACCGACTGTATCTTTTCTGGAACAACCTAGATTTTACATTTGGACTCTACCATTGGTACAGAAGGGTGAAGAAAAGCCAGACATTTAATAAGTTATCATTTTACTTCAACTATTTGTCAACAGTAACACTGTTATATTTTGGAAATACACAATAAATAGATGTGGCCTCACACAACCAACACTGATGACACGGTATAATTTGACTTCTCCTTGTCAGAAAAACATCCTTTAAACTAAACAAAAGAGAATGTGAATGCCTTGGGGAGCCTGGCTCTGAAGGAAAAACAAAGAATTCAGGAGTCAATGCAACCGGGGAGCCTCCCATCAGCAGTGCCTGGACCAAATCAGGCACTCCTGTGCTTTTTATTTCCCTTTCTGAGCAGATGCCCAAGAGAGACATGCTACACCGACGGGAAGATAAAGGCAGACAAGGTTAAAGTCACACTTCTTTTTTAAAAAGGCTAAACTCTAGATCGCTGTATTTGCTCTCTGTGGAGAAACAAAGTGCTCAGTTTGCAGATTTGCTGGTATGGTGACCTCAATGATATGACAAAGGGGTGGGTGGGGAGGGAAAAGGACAGAACCCTCAGCCAGCTGGCCAGGGTGGGTTCCCTTCTGTTGTCTGCCGTCTGGCCACAGCTTGCCACGCCTTCCACGGAGCACGGAGCCCCCATGGCTCAGTCCTGCGTTAGCTTCGCCCTTTCTGAAAGGGCTCTTCGCCTGGGCAGGTGCCGTGGGGCAGTCCTCGGGTCCCATGGCTTAGGAGCACAGCACTGGTGGCTGCAGTGGCTCGAAAGGCTGAAACTACAAAGTATGGCCCATGGGTGACTCAAGCACAGAACCGGACGCATGCAGCGCCCGGCCCCAGGGGAGTGGATGGTGTCACCACAACACGGAAGCGACAAGAGCACAGCTGAGAGTCATGTGATGCCCTGGAAGCTAACTGGATCATGAGAAGGCAGCAGGGGCTTCACTGGCGAGGGCTGGGCACTTGTCAGCTGAGGTCAGATGGGCCACGGTGATGACACGAGGGTTGTGCTAGCACATGGCTATATGGAATTACAATGATCACGGCTACCACTCAGAAAACAAAACGGGAAACACACACACCGCCCTGGGTTACTAAACACTAGAATCAGTCTGCAGGTTTGACAGAGGTTCCTAGTGGAACCATGCTCAGGGGCTCCTGCCTGCTGCAGCTGGAAACAGGATGAGGAAGTTATGGTTCTAGGGAGACAAAGATGAGAGTTGGTCATTTTCATTTTGGAGATGATACGTCTGTGGTATATGGGTGCCTCTCTGAGAGGACTCTGAATGAGTGTGCATCAAATCAAGTGCATACAAAAGAAATATGGATCATGGAAATTCACAGTTATCACAGCCATTAAAGTGTCTATGAATCTGCGTAACTAATATTCTAAGACAACTAGTTCTTAACTAGTCGTCCTGAATTGCTACTATAGTTTACTGCATTTTATCTATTTGCTTACCTGAAATAACAGAGCAGTTATAATACTGATTACTTATGATAATATTCTGTTAATAAAATAAGGATTTATACAAAGCCATTTTGGACTTTTTAAACAGTTAGATGCTATGTTACTTGGCACAGTTAGTAATGATTGCGTAAAGATTTTAGTCAGTCCTAGAGGGACTTCTCTTCTTTTTACGAAAATATGGATGTATCTGACTTTGTTCCTAGCATTTAGTTTTTGGTCTACTTTCTCGCACATTCATCTAGGTATTGTCTTCCTATTAGGTAAGTAGAGCTCTTTGTAAAGTCTACACTGCTAATTTTGTGGATTGAAACATTTGCCTTTCACACACAAATACTACCTATACAGTGTGTGTGTGTGTGTGTGTGTGTGTATGTGTGTGTATGCGTGTGTGTGTGTGTGTGTATATATATACATTTTTTTTTTTTTTTTAGTATCAGGTTTATTAGAAAACTCTCACCCCGAACTGGTGTAGCCTGTGATACAGTACTGCCCTTCGTTAAAACCAAATGGAAGAAATATACTCTTTTCCAAAGTGGTCTATACAAAAGGCATAAAAAGCAGTTTCTGGTATGATTTGGGCTCTGAGCTTCTGCCCCTTGGCATTTCCATCGCACCAGTGGTTAAGATATATATCCTCACTAGACACCTCTCT